ACAGGGACTTTCTTGGGTTTACTGTGTCCAAGTGGTAATGACATCATGACCTGGTAACTGCAAATATTCCTTCCATCGTGGTCTCCAATAAAGAAGCTTTTCAAAGGTTCAAAATTTTCCAGAATTTTGTCTCCTATAATCTGGTGTTGACAATGCACTAAAATTCCTTAATATTGCCTTCAGAAATTGGCATAGTGCCCAGGTCTATCCAGATAGATCTTAGGTTATAAAGGATTTGCTAGGAAGGAAAATTATTGGAGCTTTCAATTCTTCTCCTTGAGGGAAACTCTGCTGACCTCGATTCTATGGGCGGGAAAGGTTTCCACAAAGCCACATTGATCAGCACAAAATAAAGGTGGCACCAGAGAGAAGTCCCCTTTCAATCTAGGTATGAGGAGAATTCACAACCAGGATTTCTAAGTGTGGATGTTGGTGTCCTCTCTTGGCCTGGATCCTGGGAATATTGGCTCCCAAGTTATGTGCTTGCCAAGGCTTTTGCCACAGCCCCAGCAGCCTTAGCATTTCTCCTTGCATTTGTATCTTTCAGAGTGTTACTAATTCACTTTTAGCTAGTAGGCAAATTGTGAAATTTGGGGTGCTAACAGTACAAAACCAGTTTGCCAAATCTGGACATGCTGACTGACTCCAAGCAGGTCGTATCATTGCCACATGGAAGGAACAAGCTATTGGCACCTCACCCTCCACCTCAGCAGGCGGAAGACTCCGGCAATGTCTCCATTCATGGATTTGTTCCATCACACATCATTCAACTTTAGGATCTGGCAAACCCTGAAGCCCTTTGAGAAGCTGGGTGTTTTGTTGTTGTTTATAGTCTTTTGTTTCATTTTTATTTGTTTGTTTGGCATATCCGTGAGAAGGCAATCCTCTGAAGCTTCCAGATGCCTGATGTGGATTTAGATACACACAGGAAGACTCTCCCTTTTAAAGTGCCCGGTCCCGTCTTTTATCGTTTTTCGTAGATGAGTGAATCTCCCATACATGATTTGGGCCATTAAGTCTGGGTTGACTTTCAGAGAAAATAATACTTCATTTCATCCAACAAATAAATGACTAAAGATACACGAAGGGAGATGTCTGAGCTGAGGAGGACACCGGCTGACCCTCCACCCACTCTTCGCCCAACCAGGCATCTCTCCCTGTTGCTCAGAAAAATAATCCCAGCAGTCGTGTTTTTTTCCCATCTTCCCATCCCCAGTTCAAACTCTCAGTTTCCTTTTAAACACCCAAACCCTAAGTTATACCTGCAGATGTCACGACTACCCGATGGACAGCTAGATTCATGATTTCACTCACAGTCAATTCTGCAGATAACTACAACTACTGGAATATTAGAGGGACTTTTAAAATTTTTTATTATTTATTTATTTTTTCGAGATGGAGTCTTGCTCTGTCGCCCAGGCTGGAGTGCAATGGCGCCATCTTGGTTCACTGCAATCTCCGCCTCCCGGGTTCAAGAGATTCTCCTGCCTCAGCCTCCCGAGTAGCTGGGATTACAGGCATCTGCCACCACGCCTAATTTTTGTATTTTTAGTAGAGACAGGGTTTCACCATGTTGGCCTGGTCTCGAACTCCTGACCTCAGGTGATCCACCCGCCTCACCCTCCCAAAGTGCTGAGATTATAGGCATGAGCTACTGCACCCAACTTAGAGGGACATTCTTGAACAAAGATATAATAAGAGGAATTGGGCGAGGCACAGTGGCTCCCGCCTGTAATCCCAGCACTTTGGGAGGCTGAGCAGCGTGGGTCACCTCATGGTGAAACCCTGTCTCTACTTAAAATACAAAAAATTAGCCAAGTGTGGGGGCGGGCGCCTGTAGTCCTAGCTGCTAGGGAGGCTGAGGCAAGAGAATCACTTGAACCTGGGAGGCGGAGGTTGCGGTGAGCCAAGATCGCACCACTGCACTCCAGACTGGGCGACAGAAAAAAAAGAAAAAAAGAGGAATTGCCTCTTGCCAGACTTACTTAATTCAAATCAGTTAATTAACTCATTTGAATAGACTGTGTAAACAATGTAGAACTCTAGGACTCTAGGAGATGGTTATCAGTTTGGGATCTTTACACCTCTCCCACGTTTCCCCCTGCCACGCATCAGTCACTTAGCCTCCACACTAGTCTCTCAGCCTTTGGGTTCTTCTTAAAATGTTTCAAAGATCTCAGTAGAACTACAGTCCCATGGTGATCTGGGACACTCTTAGAATTTAGCGACACACATGTCATGTTTCTTAAATAGAAGCTAAATGTTCCCAAACTAATCTATAGATGCTATTTAATTCTGTTTAACCTTGATTATAAATTTTCTTGAGGACTTAATATAATCAATAAAAAAAATTCTCTTCAAAGATAAAATAAAAGAGGTGGGATTTCCCTCAATGGCGGAATGAAGAGGTCAGAAGTTCCCTCCCCCCTCCAAAAAAAAAATAAGCCTAAACATTGACAAAGTGCTAAAAACCAAACAATTCAGACCTCTGGAAATTGACTAAGAGCAAACAAGTTGAGAAGTGTTTATTGAAGAGAAGCTGCCGGAACTGTGGACCAGAATAGAGAGGCATCTCATGGTTCTGTGCCCAGGACTGCTCCTGCCCCACCCTGCTCAGGCAAGAAGCTGCTTTACCAGTAAGGAGAAGCCAGCAGCTTTGACTCCAGAAGGGCTGCTTGGTGTAGGGCAGCGGCAGAGACCTGCCGCACAATACTGAAAGGAAAACTAGTGTACTCAGTAGGAGACAGACGTGGAAACCCACAGGTAAGTTCCCCTGAAGTGTTTGTTCTTGTTAAGGCAAGCAGCGAACTAGCTTCACATTTAATGGGGAATTCTGGAGATGAGAGACATGTGCTAGAACATTTCAGAGACATAATACTTCATTTCATCCAACCAAGGCATCCTGGGAAACTAAGGGTGGACACAAGGGAGAACTAAGAGTTCCCAGGGACAGTAGACTTGAAGCACCTGTCAAAAGTTCTTGAGCTGGGAGCACGCTCGCCCACTCACAGGAAGATGGACGAGCAGGAGGTTAGAGGTAACAGATTCGAGACACCTAGCACAGCACCTGGCCTGCCACTCACTGACCACTAAGTTATGAAAACACAGGGGACTGGGAGACCCTTAGGAAGGCAGGCCAAAAAGTAAAAAAAAAAAAAAGAAAAAAAAAGCAACAAAATTAACAAAGATATTTGCAGAAAAAGGCAAAACAACAACAACAAAAAAGCAAAGACATTAGCAGAAGCACATCATGGGGGAGACAGATTTGACTGTACAGTGCAGCCAAGTCTCTTACACACACACAAACACACATACACACACACATCCTCCCAAAAAACTCCAGGGATAAAAACTAAACTCCAGGAAAAAAAAAAAACTAGAATCCAGAGTTGATACAATATATGATATAAAATGTCCAATTTTCAACAAAAATCTTTAGGATCAAAAATAAATAGGGACCCCAATTAGCCAAACAATCTTGAAAAATAAAAAGTGCAAAATTGGAAGTATCACATTTCCTGATTTCGAAACTTACTACAAAGCGGCAGTAAGTAAAACAACAAAACCCCAGCATGGCACTGGCATAAAGACAGACATACAGACGAATGGATAAAGCACAAAGCCTGGAAATGAATCCTCGCATATATTGTCAAGTGACCACTGACAGGTGCGCCAAACCTGTTCAATGGGGAAAAGAGTCTATCGGAAAACTCGATTTTTACAAAAATGGAGCTTGACCCTTACCTTAAACCACTTACAAAAATCATCTCAACAGGATCAAAGACCTCAATGTGAAAACTGGAAATAAAACTCTTAGAAGAAAATATAGGGAAAATTTTTAAATGATACTGGACTTGGCAATGATTTCTTTCTTTATTTTGATTTTAAGTTCTGGGGTACACGTGCACGATGTGCAGGTTTGTTGTATAGGTAAATGTGTGCCATGGCGGTTTGCTGCACCTATCAACCCATCACCTAGGTATTAAGCCCACATGCATTACCTATTTTTCCTGATGCTCTCCTTCCCCCCATCTCATCCTCGACAGTCCCCAGTGTGTTGTTCCCCTCCCTGTGTCCATGTGTTCTCATTGTTCAGCTCCCACTTATAAGTGAGAACATGCAGTGTTGGGTTTTCTGTTCCTGTGTTAGTTTGCTGAGGATAATGACTTCCAGCTCCATCCATGTCCCTGCAAAGGACATAATCTCATTTATTTTTATGACTGTCTAGTATTCCATTATGTATAGACACCACATTTTCCTTATCCCGTCTATCCTTGATGGGCATTCGGGTTGATTCCATGTCTTTGCTATTATGAATAGTGCCTCAGTGAACATACATGTGCATGTATCTTTGTAACAGAATGATTTATATTCTTTTGGGTATACACCCAGTAATGGGATTTCTCGGTCAAATAGTATTTCTGGTTCTAGATCTTTAAGGAATCACCACACTGTCCTCCACAAAGGTTGAACTAATTTACACTCCCACCAACAGTGTAAAAGCATTCCTATTTCTCTGCAACCTTGCCAGCATCTGTTGTTTCTTGACTTTTTAATAATTGCCATTCTGACTGGCGTGAGATGGTATCTCACTGTGGTTTTTATTTGCATTGCTCTGGCAAAGATTTCTTAAATATGATGCCAAAACACAAACAAACGAAGATAAATTTGACTTCGTCACATTTAAAACCTTTTGTGCACCTGGGACACTTTCAAGAGATTGAAAATACAACCTACAGAATGGGAGAAAACATTTGAAGCTCGTATATCAAATGAGGAATTAATATTCAGAATATAAAGAACTCCTACAACTCCACGACAACCCCAAAACAATCCAGTGTTTAAAATGGGCAGAGAACTTGAATAGACCTTTTTCAAAAAAGATACACAAATGGCCAACAAGCATATGAAAAGATGCCCAGCATCATAAACCATTAGAGAAATGCATCAAAACCACAGGGAGACAGCGCTTTACGCCCGCCGCAGGGAGACAGCGCTTTACGCCCGCCGCAGGGAGACACCGCTTTACGCCCGCCGCAGGGAGACAGCGCTTTACGCCCGCCGCTGGGAGACACCGCTTTACGCCCGCCGCAGGGAGACAGCGCTTTACGCCCGCCGCTGGGAGACACCGCTTTACGCCCGCCGCAGGGAGACAGCGCTTTACGCCCGCCGCTGGGAGACACCGCTTTACGCCCGCCGCAGGGAGACAGCGCTTTACGCCCGCCGCTGGGAGACACCGCTTTACGCCCACCGGATGCGCCTGCCGCAGGGTGACACCGCTTTACGCCCGCCACAGGGAGACGCCGCTTTACACCCACCGGATACGCCCTCCGCAGGGAGACAGCGGTTTACACCCACGGGATACGGCCGCCGCAGGGAGATACCACTTTACACCCAGCAGAATGGTCAGTATCAATCAAACAGAAAATAACTAGTGTTGGCAAGAATGCAGAGAAGTTGAAACCCTGATTTAGTGCTGGTGGGAATGTAAAATGGTGTGGTTGCTGTAGAAAGCAGTTTGACAGTTCCCCAAAACTCTAAACATAAAATTACCACATGATCCAGCAGTTCTACTCCTATGTACATGCCCTGTTTGAAAACAGGGACTCAAACAGATATTTGACTCATAGCATCGTTGTTTGCAATCGTGGCAAGGTAGAAACAAATTTCCATCAACAGATGAATGAGTCAACCAGAGATGGTCTATACATACAGCGGAATATTATGCAGACTCAAAAAGAAATGCAGTTCCGATACATGCTGTAATATGGATGAACCTTGAAAATATGTGAAATACACCAAACGCAAAAGGATAAATATTGTATGCGGTACCTAGAATAATCTGACCTTATGTGAGGTACCTAGAACAATCTAATTCATAGAGACAGAGAATAGAATGGTGGGTACCAGGGGTGGTGAGAGTTGAGGGGAGTGGGGAGTGGTTGTATAATTAGGGTGCAGAGTTCCTGTTTGGGTTGATTTTAAAAGTTCTGGAGATGGGTAGTGGTGCTGCCTGCATAACAGTGTGAGTGTAGTTAATGTCATCAAATTTTGCGTGAAATTAATTAGAATAGTACATTTATGTTGTGTATTTTTGGCACACACACACAGACATTCACACGGGTAAGTGTGCATCTCTGGAAAAAAAGAGGCAGTTAAAAGAAACTAGAAGACAATGACTTCAGAGCAACTATTCTAAATATGTTCCAAAAATTCAGAGAAAATAGGTTTAAATAATAAAAAGAGAGTGTGATGAGGATGCAGCACGTAGAAAAGCTAGAATTGAAAACTGTAACATCTGAAATGAACAATTCACTAAATTTATTCAACAACAGATTTGAGATGGTGAATACTGAGTTAGCGAACTTCAAGACAGATCCAGTACAAAACACAGGGAGAAAAAAAGCTTAATAAGGAATAAAGTCGTGTTACTTTTCATCAGCCGTGATGGAAAACTAATAACAATATTAGCCTTTTGTTTGTCACACGATGCATAAATTATTTTTCCTAAATTTATCATTTGTCATTCAAATTTGTTTACAGTAGCTTGTCATTCACACTTCCTGAGTAAGAAAAAAATTTGGCAGGTTATTTGTAATGGATTCTGAATAGTACTTAATGAAAATTTACAATCTCAGGCCAATAGTTCCATATTATTTTTGTTTGTAATCTGTTTTTTTTAAAACCTTGAATGCACCTCAAAATAAAATTAGATTTAATATGTGATTGGGATCTAACTCTCTCCATGTCCTTCTCCAAACTGGCCTGTTGAAATTATGTGCAAGACCTTTTCAAACACTTAACCCAAGTATGCACATAGGAGTGCACATGGAAAATTGTAGCATTCCAACTACCACAATGTAGTCTTTTAAAAAAACTAGCAACGTAACTCTTAATATTCAGCCTAAGGGGAAATACTATGAATTGTAAAGAAAAGAAGTATATACCTCCTACACAAAAAGCATGTGTCGTAAAATTGTTGCTTTCAGCCACTACTGAGCGACCATGGCTAAGAGAAAGTTGAGTAATCTGGCATGTATTCTAAAACCACACTCCTAGAACCCATCCCTTTTGATATAAATGATAGTTATCCATTCACTCAATTATTCAAAAAATATGTATTAAATACCTACTACATGCCAAGAACTTCTCTAGGCAATGATAATAACAGGAAATGAAAAAAGTAACTTGTTCCTGTTTTTTTTTTTTTTAGATGGAGTCTTGCTCTGTCACCCAGGCTGGACAGGCTGGAGTGCAATGGCGCGATCTTGGCTCGCTGCAAACTGCCTCCCAGGTTCAAGTGATTCTCCTGCCTCAGCCTCCCGAGTAGCTGGGATTACAGGTGCCTGCCACCACGCCCAGCTATTTTTGGTATTTTTAGTAGAGACGGGGTTTCTCCATGTTGGCCAGGCTGGTCTTGAACTCCTGACCTCAGGTGATCCTCCTGCCTCAGCCTCCCAAAGTGCTGGGATTACAGGCATGAGCCATCACTTCCTGCCTGTTACCTTTTTGATTGATACTAATAAATCTCTTGTTGTGTACCTTTTATTTTTTTAGAACAGAAAGTAAGTGAAAAAGAAAGTTGTCAGTTATTTTCATCAAATTTCCTATTACCATATGTACTATGTTTTGGTGACTTTCACCCTAGGATTCATGGAGGTAAAATTCTGCCTGCTGAACTTTTTTGCTGTAAATTTACTTATGTAATCCCACCATAGCTGAATAGATGTTCAGTGTGAGATAGCCCTAGGATAAAACACAGCCCTCTCTAGCAAATATATTAATAGAAGGCAAAAAAGCTGTCAAAATGTAGAAAAATGTTCAAACAATTAGGTTAAATTTGTTTACAACCTTATTCATGATTGCCCCTTATATCCTACCATGTGTCAGGTAATAGACTTAAAAGACTTTTGTGTACCCTCAGAGATGAAAATTATGGATGGAAAGTGATTAATAAATTCTTCTTCTGTAGGAAAAAATCTCCACCTGGAAGCACAATATTAAAGAATAGAAGAGTGCTATGTTTGCACCATCACTACTTAAAGCAAAGCTCTACACGGTGCTGCGTTTTTCTCCATTTGCATTGGGTGAGTGGATCTTTATAAATTCTTTATAGCTTCTGATCAACCAGACATCACACATTTCTAGAAAGTTGTCACAGCTTAAATGATCTATACAGGAGGTAGGTCCAGAAACACATCAAGGCAATGTGCCATCCCAACTGTGATCAAAGGTTAATTCCATGGCTATGAACATAAACAGACCTGGATTTGGGTTCTATTTTAACAAATAGGTAGGATTGCGACTTTGAGAAAGGATCTGTTTCTGTCTGATCCCTTTTCATTCATTTCACTTCCCAAACTTGTGGGGCTTAAAGGCAATCTCTACACCCATGGGCTAATATAAAATTAAGTCCAGAGAAAACAGCTAGCTTCAATTTGGGGATACGGCTACACACTTTTAGCAGTTAGGGGCTTCCTAGACATTCGGAGTGGGTATCGTTCAAGAAAAAATTTATAGAGGAGAAAATAGTTTCAGACCATAAATTTATAGGACCTGTTTTACAAGGAAAAAATCAGAGTGTGGCTTAATGCTATTTTGGAAATAGCAGGTTGGTATAATATCACTGGCAGCATTGTTGCTTATGAAAGTCATGATTCGTAAAATAATATCATCGTGAAGCAAACAAAGGGACTTGGTAGGAACATTAAACTAAACTAACACCAAAAACATACGGAACAAAAAACCCCAAACTGCGTCCTAACCCATGGAAAATTGTTAAAAAAATTTAAGTAAAATTATCGATCAAAACTTCGTTTTATAAAATAAAAGCATAGTTGTTTCATTTCGTTTTTCTTCAGTTGGTGTATATGTCACTATTTCTTCATGTTTCATTACTATAGATTTTGAGTTGCAAGATTAAATACAGGATTGTTTTATGTATTTTAAGTCAAAGATCAATTGTGATTTCAGAACCAGGACATAAAGTCATAATTTGGAATAACTTATTCTTAAATCCATTATCCATTTAGCCATGCAACAAATATTTATGGGCTTACTCTATGGCAGTCCTTACTTTAATTGCCAGGGATCCAGTAATGAATTAAATAGACAAAGTCTCTGCATTCAGTGCGAGAGGAGAGAAGCAATGAACAAACGTATCCTAAATGACCCATAGGATAATAAGAGCTATAAGGAAAATAAACCAGTTCAGAAGTACAGCTTCAGGGAAAGGGAACATCTCTTCACTATAATTGTTAAAAATAATCTGATAGTAAAACTTAACTATTTTGCAGAACATACTCTGTTTCTTTCTTGAATCTTAGCTATGACAATTAGAATATATGAGTCATTTAGGATTAGAATCAGCTGTTGTATTAGTCCTTTTTCACACTGCTGTAAAGAAATACCCAAGACTGAGTAATTTATAAGTGAAGGAGGTTTAATTGACTCACACTTCCCCAGGGCTGGGGAGGCCTCAGGAAACTTAACAACCATGGTGGAAGGGGAAGCAGGCACCGTCTTTTTTTTTTTTTTTTTTTTTTTTTTTTTTGAGAGGGAGTCTCACTCTGTCACCAGGGCTGGAGTGCAGTGGCAGAGTCTCGGCTCACTGCAACCTCCGCCTCCCCGGTTCAAGCGATTCTCCCGCCTCAGCCTCCCAAGTAGCTGGGATTACAGGTGCCCGCCACTATGCCTGGCTAATTTTTTTGCATTTTCAGTAGAGACGGGGTTTCACTATGTTGGCCAGGCGGTTTTGAACTCCTGACCTTGTGATTCGCCCCAGGCACCTTCTTTACAAAGAAGCAGGAGAGAGAAGTGAGAGTGCAGGACAAGCTGCCACTTATAAAACCATCAGATCTCCTGAGAACTCACTCACTATCATGAAAACAGCATGGGGGAACCGCCACCAGGATCCAATCACCTTCCTCCCTCCACATGTGGGGATTACAACTGGAAAGGAGATTTGAGGTGGGGGGACACAGAACCAAATCCTCTCCGCTTTGAGGGGCAGAATGACAGAAAACACATGACAGTGGCCTGCATAAGACTATAGCTTCTTTCTTTCTGCCCCAAGTCCGGATAGGTGTGATTCTCGGTTGTGTCGGGGACCGGGATCCTTGCACCTTGCTCTTCCATCCTGAGAGCTTTGACTTCCTGGTCCAAAATGGTGACATCCACATTCCAGGCAGCACAGCAGTGGGTGGGCCACGGAGGAAGACAGCAGAGGGGCCTCTCAGAAAGGTTGCCCAGCACCTGCCCCAAGACACTTGCTGGGATCTTCATAGCTAGAACAAGACACAGGAGCACGCTTAGGGCACTGGAACCTCGACGTTTCCACGTTTCTGCAGTATTTCAGAACAGGACACGGGAGCAGGCTCAGCGCACCGGAACCTCGATATTTCCGGGAAATTTCAGAACAGGGCACAGGGGGTGCTCGGCACTCCAGGAACCTCGGCCTTTCCGTGCATATTTCAGAACAGGGTACGGGGCATTCTCAGCACTCCGGGAACCTTGGTGTTTCCAGGCATATTTCAGGTGTTTGTGCTTTCCCCAAAATTAAAGTCTCTAAAGCCACAGATGTAGGGGGAAATTGATAAAAGGGCACAGTCGACAATTTAACAGTGTGCACACAGTGGCCTTAAAATCACATGATTTCTTTCCTCAAGTGACAGATAACTAACTGCCTTTGCTTAGGTTTTCAAGAAAAATAATAGACCATCAGAAACCACATGAGTGGCAAATAGTCAAAATCTATGAGCAGAATTTAGCTCTTGGTGCTCTTGAATGATGAGCATTCTTAGGAAGAAAATCGTGCTTGAGAAATACTATTCATATCGAGACATAATTGTATCTAAAGGAACAATTGCTAAGAAAACAACCTCAGGAACTACTTGGAATAGTAATTAGCACAATATTTTATTTGAGTGGAGTAGAGATTCTTTACCAGTTCATCTAACTTTCATTTTCTAACTCTGTGCACTGAATCTCTGAAGTCACAGAATGCCCTTGGGACAGCAGTGCTCTTCAAAATGGTGGGAAATGTCTGGGATGTCCGTGAAGTGCCTGTGTAGGCTGAGAAACAGCCCCTTCTGTGCAAACTTGCGGTGTCAGTATTAAGAAGGTTAGATGCGTGCAAAGCAAGTCGAAGACACACGTAGAAAATACCAAGTTGCAAAGGATGTAGTGTGGGCGTCAATGCATGAGAAGCAGAAAAGCTCAGCCTGGGGTATTCAGGGGAAACTTGGTAGAAGTACCTGCACCTGAAGTCAGCCTTGAAATAGTCGGCACTGTTGTTAAACCAGGAAGGATGAAGGCAGAGCATCTGTGATATGATGTGCACAGGCACAGTGAACAGATGAGCAAGTGACATGGACCAATGCCACCAACTTCTGTGCAGTGACACGCCAAGGCCAAGCACTGGAGATGCAAGATAAACTAGGGGGAATGTGTTCTTACCCTCCCAGATTTTCAGTTTCAGAGAAATGCCTATGGGGAGGAGGACAGGGCATTGGTAGTTTTTGAGCACCTGTAGAGGGTTTCAGTGAGATGCCTATGGGGAGGAGGACGGGCATTGGTACCTTTTGAGCACCTGTAGGGGCTGGAGGAAGTGAACATGTTCTCTCTTTGCTCCAATATTTTTTGTTTTACACTGAAAACATATGGGTGCCTTCAAATGATCAAGTAGGGCAAAGGGATTCAATAGGAAACCTGTCTTCTCACAGTGAATACTCTTGTTTCCAGTGTTGACTATTGCTGACTATTTCTCCCGAGTCCTTCCTGAAATACCTCTTGCATTTCCCAGTGTGTAAGTATCCTTACGGGTGTACATCTTTCCATAAAAAACTGATTTCGCATGGTAGAGTGACTCAGGGTTGCAAGCAGAGTTCATTTTATCCCTTCTTAAGAGTGGTCCCCTTTAATCTGGTGTTACAGCTTGTCCACCTGATATGGTTTGGCTGTGTCCCCACCCAAATCTCATCTTGAATTGTAGCTCCCATAATTCCCACGTGTTGTAGGAGGGACCCGGTGGGAGGTACCTGAATCATGGGGGTGGATCTTTCATGTGCTATTCTCATGATGGTGAATAAGTCTCACAAGATCTGATGGTTTTATAAATGGGAGTTCCCTGCACACACTTCCTCTTGCCTGCTGCCATGTAAGACATGTTTTTCTCCTCCTCTGCCTTCTGCCATGATGGTGAGACCTCCCCAGCCATGTGGAACTGTGAGTTCCTTAAACCTCTTTCCTTTGTAAATCACCCAGTCTTGGGAATGTCTTTATTAGCAGCATGAGAAAGGGGTAACACACCTCCCCCAAATCCACATACTGAAGTCCTAACCCCAGTACCTCCTAGTGTGATTTTATTTGGAGATAGGGTCATGGCAGATGGTAATAGTTAAGATGAAGTTATAGGTTGACCCTTAATCCAAGTTGAATAGTGTCTTTGTGAAAAGGGGGCATTTGGACACACACACACTGGGAGAATACCAGGTGAAGACGAGAGAAAAGATGAGTGATGCCTCTATAAGCCAAGGAAGGTGAGAGTTGCCTGGAAGCCACCAGAGTCTAGGAGAGAGGACTGAAACAGGTTCTCCCTCATAGTTCCCGGAAGGAACCAACCCTGCCGGCACCTTGGTCTCAGACTTCCAGCCTCCAGAACTGTGGGACAATAGGTTTCTGTTGTTCAAGCTGCCTGCTTTGTGGTATTTTGTGAAGGCATCCCTAGAAAATAGATACATTCAGCTTTGTAAAACTTGCCCATCATTTAGATGAAATCCTGGGGAGGTGCTATGGTTTTCCATTCCATTTGGGGAAATAAAAATCTATTTCAGGCACTCCTAGATGTTCACGCAAAGTTCAGTGCATTCTAACATCAAAATTGCAGATTTTCACTCCATTTCAGCAGCCCTCATTCATCTCTCCACTGTGGGAAGCAGATGTGGCTGTAATCTGGTGCGGGGATTCCATCAGCAGAGATGACAGTTATGCACTTTTTATTTCCAGGGTCCTTTCCTGAATTCCTCCCAGATTGTTCCACCAGGACCTCCACCTGCAGGAGCTTGGTGCTGGACATTCTGTTCTGACA